TCTTACCTCCCCCTACCCCAAACTGTATCCCCCCCCTCTCTCTGCACACCCCTCAGCACCTGCCCCACCGTTTCCACCCCGTCTCTCCTTCCCCTCCCCATGTCTCTTCCTGCCCCCCCATGCCCTGTCTCCTACCCCCTTCCCCTTTCCCTGCTTCTCCCCTCCCCTTTCCCCGCTTCTCCCCCACTTTCTCCGCTTTCCTCTCCCTGCCCCCCACCCCCCGCTTGCCCCCCTTCTTCCTGCTGCCCCTACCTTCTGCCCTCTGCCCACCCCCCTTTCTTTCTCTCTCGATATTGTAAGCACTACCAAAGTCCATTAGCTTCACAGGGAGAGGTAGTCACCAGATTAATGATTCAGAGATCTGTTTTGGGGACCTGGGTTTGAATCCCACCATGGGGTACCGTTGATTTTTTTCAATTCAATAAACACCTGGAATTACAAGTTTAACAATGTTTTTAATAAAATCCATGTCATTCATTAATGCCCTTCATGAGGGGCTGAAGGGCCTCCTACATGCTGTAAAACGATAATTCAATCCAATGGCCAATGCAGGCTGTTACAGCTCTCTACAGCGTGGTTGGAATTCGCCACGGAACATGGGCTGAATTTGTTTTCCCCATTGCCATGTGGCTTTAGGTAATATTTAATTTCATCTAAAGACATATGTACGTGAATAGATAAGTGTGTAAATCTCAGCACACACATTTCCATTCGTGTGTATAAATCTGAACTGATGTGACTGTTGTTTTATTTATGAATTTATTGATGTCATGTCAGTTCAATTGGTAGAAGAAGATTTACTTTTTTTTATGGATTTTTGACCTTGGGCTGAGCCGAGACACTTTAACCCAATGGGGTACTTTCCCCAAGTAATCACTGCTGTAGGTACAGTTACACAGCAATGTCATTATTGCAAGCCACAGGGAGACCAGTAAGTTTTAAAAACAAATGGCTAAAACCCACTATTGATTAAACACTATTGACCTTTTTGTAGGCAATGTCTAACTAAAAGAACAGAAAGTGATATACCCCGTCTATAATTTAGCGCATTGCCCTCTCCATAGAATTATTGTCCATGGTTCCTCTTAGATTCTGCTAGGTGTGTTGTCCCCATTGTGGTCAGTAGTAACTGTGAGTGGCCATCTTTCAGGCCTTATCCTCAGTTTTCAGAGTTCCTTAAATCCATCAGCATCAATCATGATTGTTGCAATCCTTCTTCCCCTCGGTGACATCAGAACAAACCTCTCTCTCAATGCCACCCGCCCACCGAGGCCTGCAGGAGGCAGTATGGAAACTGGAAGACTGTCTCCCTCCTGCATCTGGTTCTGGTTGACCACACCAAGCTGCTGCTATCTGAGAGTATTTATTATGGACATTGCAAAAGAAGAATACTGTGGTCCCTGTGGAAATGGCATCCAGTGGATCAGATCTGGTGGAACCTGCAGCTATTAACGTGGAGTTCATTCGCACTGTGCACTCCTATCATCTGCAGAACTGTGTGAGTAACAATCAGCATCTTAGTGAGGGGGATAGAACACTGGCAACTCTTCACTTATCCTGAAGATCGAAGATCACATGACAGGTTACTATCCATGCCATCTTCTTAAAACATTCTTCAAACCAGAGACTGCAATGTCCTTTTTTATTCACCAGTTATGATGCACACTTCTCCATAATCAATCAGTCAGTATTCTCAATGCAGTTGATACAGAATCCAACCTTTTTTTTAAAACAATAGCACTTGATTAAATGGAATATACATCATGAACAAAGCTGACAATGGGTTTATGTGAGAGCGAATTACTCAGATGGGACTTCAGAGCAGACGAGGGGAAAGGGCTGTCTAGTGCTAGTGGCAAGGCACGTGGTACACCCTTGTATTAGTACCTTCCTGGAGGGTGGGCTGTGCCCTTGTGCTTGCACCAGCTCCAATACAACACAGACTCCTCCTCCACTGACAAGTTCATCTAAGTCAAAGACAGCATCTCAAACCCGCAGAGAAAATCCCAAATGGAATTGAAAGCATTTTGAGCATGTGTGATGGGAAAACAAAATCAGCTTGAAATTTATTTAAAACAAAGTTTAAAAACATTGTTACAGCAACAAAAAAAAACAAATTTACAGGATCTGTCTTCTTCGGTCTGGGTGCTGATGATCTGTTAAAATAAATGGTGCGGCTGATGGGACGAGGGGCCCAAGGATCCAAAGTCAAACCCCGAGAGGAGCTCAGTTGCTGGATATTCCAAGATGCCGGAAATAGTGACCTTAATTAAAAGGCTGGATTAAACCTAAAATTATAAAAAGGACGTTCTCAGAAAAATTGCATCATTTTCCGTAATAAATATGGAAGTGGAGGTAGTCTCCATGAATAGTCAAAGCTAAAGCCCTTAAAAAGTGCTATATGCAGGACAGCGCCTCCTGCCAGAATACTGTGCTGCCTTTATGCCCAGGTGATGGAGGCAACGGGAGTGAGATCTCTGGCTGCAGCCCCAGGCACCACAACCGCATGTTGTTCTTGCTCCCGGAGTCTCTGCTGCTCCAGGAAGGTGACCAGCTTGTCTCTCATCTTGACTACCTCAATCATCTCCTTAAAAATCCTCTCCTCCTCCAGGTGGTCCTTACTTGTCTTCAGCGACTCTGTAAGAAATGCAGGCGACACGTGAGCAAGATTTAAACATTAACGTTTTGTAAGGTGAAAATTTGTATTACCTAGCACCTCAGAAACTGGAACGTTCTCTCCTGCCCACCCACCGACCCCTGATACAAAAGCAAACGTCACCAATTGGAATCATTCTGAAGTTAACTGGTACCCAAACGCTGGTGGGGAAATTTGCAGAGTTGAAGACACTGGGAGAGGTGCTGGTTAAAGAGATGATTAGATTGAGGTTATTTGTATTTGGCTTCAATCGCAGAGAGATGCTTGACCACTGTATTGGGGGGTAACAGTTGCTACTGAACCTGAGAAAGCAGCAGTTTATTTGTGTGTTATTCCTTCCCAATTTGATCCTCCTCAACAACCAGCATTTTTGATTGATCTGCACAGACAATACAATTTTCACTGTAAAATGTCCACTTATTGAGGAGAGTTCTCTCTCACTGCCCCAACCTGTCACCACCCTGCAATACATGATGTAAGCTGGCTTAATGTGCACTGTCATTTGTTGCCAGTCTCTTTCAGATGCCCACATAGCTTAAGTGCAGGTTGCCCACGCCAGCTGGCATCGCTAGACGTCAGTAGGAAATACCAAAATTAGGACGTCCTCTGTTTGTCGGTCTGGGATGACTTTGCTCGTAATTCCTTATCTTGGTGGAATTGAACTCAGGAATTCATTGCGTAAAAGACCCATCCCAGAGGTCCATTACTGCAGTGACAATATTTTAGCAGATAGCTGCATTTTCCTCTAGACTGGGATGAAAAGGACACCAGGTAGACATCAACGTCAGAAAGGGATGTGTTTTTGCAGATATTTTCAAGCCAGTTTACAGATGTTATGACACGCTAGAGCAGGTGGGGTTTGAACTCAAACCTCCTGGCTCAGAGGTAGGGACACTACCACAGCACCACAAAATCCTAAAATGCAGTTGTAATCTTAGAAGTGACTGCAGTCTCTCTCATTACGGGCTGCCAGGCCATGTTTTAGCTCATTCTCTTATTTCAGCATCAGTGAGCAAAGGTTCACAAGCAGGAGAACCGTGAGATGTTTTGTGGTAGGACATGGGTTTGTCCTTTTAAGTCTGCAGAGAGGGTACATCACTGAATCCTCACTGTCTCACCTCCTTGCTACAGCTCCCCAGAACAAAGTGCTTATCCAATGAAAATCAGCCTCCACCCCCATCCTGCTCTTACATTCTGAACAGGTGGTTGCAGAAGGCCATTGGGCAATAAACAAGCTGACTCAAACTCAGGGAAAGGCTGGTGTATGGGCAGTAACCTAGAGAGAACTCAAACTGTCGCAGCTACAAGCCTTGAACAAATCCTGATATATTTTTCAGGTATTATTTTATGGGATGTGGGTATTGCTGGCAAGGTCAGTGCACTGCAGGCCTTCGTGCTTCCATTGACTTTGCAGTGATCCTCATTCTGTGAATGTTGAGTGAAGGTAGATTCAGGCACTCAGGATTGAAGCTTGCTGAGTGGGTTAACAGGCTGAGGGAAAGGACAGGAAATTGGGGAACTGCTTTCAAAAGGTTTTCTTAACACTGATATCTGGTAGTAACTGGTCTCTGCAAAGGGGGACATTCCCAATACTCCAGTGCTATTGCACTACTCACAAACTAGTAGAAAACACTAAGTACACAACAGGGAAAGGAGCAGGAATGTGGGAAAATGCAGGAAAATAAGGAGAGATGTTTATAGGAGTATCACCTACCATCCATGTCCATGTACCTCCTTAGATCCTGTTCCAGCCTACTCTTCTGGTCCTCCAGTTCCAGCTCACGCCCCCTGAATAATTCAACACAAAAATGATCAGGACTTCTTCAGATCAAATAGAGTCTCAGCTCCAGTAAGACACCAAGTTTAAGGAACATATCTCTCTCATGTTCAAAATCTTTCTCATAAAATTACTTTGGTCGTTGTCTCTTTTGAATGTTCTTTGCTTTTTCCTCCTTAAGAAAAGCAACCAGCAGGGATTGTGTTTCACTGAGACACAGTTACTATCATTATAAGACTTTCTAAAAACGAACATCGAAATTGGAGCTGGATAGGCCAATTGACACACAAGCTTGCCTTTGCCCATCGACAAGATCTGCCCAAGGCCTCAACTCCACGATATTTAACCACTTTCAGTGACCAAGCTCCCACAACTCTCTTTGTGGGAGAGAATTCAAGACTTTCACCACCCTCTGAGAAGAAATTTGTTCACATCCCAGTTTTAAAAGAGTTCTGTGGCTATGTCCCTGAGTTTAAGATTCCCCCATTAGTAAAAACATCTAAACATCTACCCTGTTAATTCTCCCTCAGAACCATGAATGTTTCAGTAAGATCACCCCTCAGTCTTCTAAACCCTAGTCAGTATAGGCCTAAACTGTTTAGCTGTTCTTGATAAGCCAACCCCTTCATCCCAGGAATCAGCCTGTGAACCTCTTTTGAACTGTCACCAATACTGGTAAACCCTGGGGACTAAAATTGTGCACCGCACTCCAAGGTATAGCCTCACCAACAAGCTAAACAGTTGTAACAAGACTTCCCTAGTTTGAAACTCCAATCCTGAGCAATAAAGGCCAAAATTCTATTTACCGCCTTCATTACTTGCTGGACCTGCGTGTTAACTTATTGTGTTTCATGTACAAAAACATCCAGAACCCTCTATGCTGTTTGTTTTTGGAGTCTCTCTCAATTTAAATAGAACATAGAACATCACAGTACAGGCCCTTCGGCCCTCGATGTTGCGCCGACCTGTGAAACCAATCTGAAGCCCATCTAACCTACACTATTCCATTATCATCCATATGTTTATCCAACGACCATTTAAATGCCCTTAAAATTGGCGAGTCTACTATTTTTGCAGGCAGGGCATTCCATGCCCTAGACCGTCACTTGATTTTGGCTACATTATACTTTCCTGCACTAAACTCCACCTGCTAAGATTTTGCCCTCTCACTCAGCCTAACTGTATTCCCTCACAGATTGCTGAAACAAGATGCTCTCCCAGATAGTTCTGTATAATCTGCAAGTGTGGATACATTGCACTCTACCTCTCCTTCAAGTCATTAATCTAGATAGTAAATAATCGAGATCGTAGGACTGATCCTTGTAACACTCCAACAGTTGTATCTTTCCAAAATCAGAAAAGGACTTACTAATCCTGACTGCCTGTCTTCTGTACTTAACCATATCTGTGTTGACCACTTGGCATACCTTAGTTTTTTATCTGGATTTTCTTTTCGACTGCAGGTTCATCCTTCTTATCAAGTCCTTCTTGACTGGAATAAGATTTTGCTGAGTATTATGGAATATCTCTGTTCATTTATTGACCTTCCCTTCAGTCTGTTTTCCCAGCCTGCTTTACACAACTCTTCCTTCATGTAGTCGCTTTTATTTAAGTTGAGGACAGCGTTGGAGGCCTGGGTTGCTTGCCGTCAAACTGAGATAGAAATTCTACTATGTTGTCATTATTCCCCACTACAGGATCCTTAACTATGTGATCTTCAACTTACGCTGCCTCACTACACATGACTGGACCTAAAATAGCCTATTCCTATGCAGGTGCCACAACATACTGCTGTTACAAGCAATCTCTGATGCACTCTAAGATAGTCACCTTCCATGTCACCATTGCCCATCTATTTTATCCAGTCAATATGCAGATTGATATCACGCATGGCGATTATAGTGTCTTCCTTACAGTTTTCCATTATTTACTGATTTATACCTTTCCCTACAGTGAGACAGCTCTCAGGTGCTGCAGATGGCACTCATCCATGATTTCTTTCCTTTTCCATTTCTTCCACCCAAACTGATTCCACATCACAATCATCTGCATCTCTATCACCACCTATGCCATGATATCATCCTTTATTAATAAAGCCACCCCACCTATTCTTCCAGAATGTCAAGTACCCTTTCTTGGTCACCCTGCAGCACCACAACGTACTGAGGATGGATCAGGTTTGCTGGATTTTCATGGAGAGCAGAGCAGCAAATATAAACAGGATTCAAAGTGTTCTTACTGGATCATTAACTCAGACTCTTCACTCAGGAGTTGGTTCTTGTCTTGTACCAGTGCGATCCAGGATTGCATCAGATCTTGCTGTTCACCTGTGGCAGAACAATGTTTAGGAACTGAACAAACTTTATTGGTGAATCTCAACTTTAGCAAGGGAACAGAAATGCATCCAACTGCCTCTGAACCCACATCTGTTTCCATACCTTTATCTAATAATTTACTCTGACACTCTCTGGCTGAACAATTCCCACCCAGCATCTCTTCTTCAAAATTCCCTCGAACCTCTTAACATATCCCAAGTGAAGGTGGTGAATGTTCAGTGTTGGGGGGAAAGTTGAATCTCACACTGTCCTTTTGTCCAGAACTGTTGACCTTGGGTTGGGTGTACACGTAAAGCATGAGCAGGTTTATGCAGGTTCACCCTGCAACCTGTACAGTTTGTGTCTGACCCTGCCTCCACTCCTTTACTGTCTCACACAGCAGGAGAGAATAATCAAAACTGAAAGAACTGCGGATGCTGTAAATCAGGAACAAAAATGGAAGTTGCTGGGGAAAACTCAGCAAGTCTGGCACCACCTGTGAAGAAAAAATCAGTTAACATTTCAGGACTGGTGACCCTTCCTCAGAACTCTTACAAGCAATCTCTGATGCACTCTAGATAGTCACCTTCCATGTCACCATTTTATTCAGTCTATATGCAGATTACAATCACGCATGGTGATTACAGAGTCCTGCTTACACCACCTTCCATGTGATAGTCACCTTCCATGAGACAATAATCACCTCATACACAAAGAGACAGCCACTGCACATCAGGTCACCACTCCTTCTACTTTATCCTGGAGTCACCAGAAATTAAATGTTCAACTCCCAGACTCTGGAGCTGACAGTGCAGAGGGAGACAAATTGTAGTGCCATTTTTAAAGATCGTGTTTCTCTTTCATTTCTCCCAAGCTCTTCTGTTCATTGGTTATCAGGAAAAATATTGGTGATGCATAAAAATGATTGATTGACCAGATGGGGTGCAAGGTCATGTAGCTCCTAGAAAGGTGAGAGCTGGTATCTCTCTGAGCAGACACACTGCTGTCGCAGAAGGATGGTTAAAGTCACGGTTTTCACCAATTCTTTCCCCTCTCCACCTTGTCGTGAGGATGCCACTGGAGTGTACACATGCAGGATGTTTAGATTCACATGGTATGTCTATTGGTGTTAATGCTGTGACCTTTTATCAAATGGAAGTTTGCTGTCTGTGGAGCACTGGCGCCCTCTGCTGGAAGGAAAGCTGCCCTGCAACAAACACAATGTCTCTAATTCCCACCCTTCACACCATTTAAAGGAACAAAGTCACCAAAGAACCCCAGTCTCTCATTTTCACCTTCAGGTTAGGGGTGTGGCTGCCATTTACTGTGCATCTGTGATAACAAGGTGTAGAGCTGGATGAACACAGCAGGCCGAGCAGCATCAGAGGAGCAGGAAAGCTGATGTTTCGGGCCTAGACCCTTCTTCTTCCTGCTCC